TAGGCGTGTGTGTGTGTGTGTGTGTGTGTGTGTGTGTGTGTGTGTTTGTGTGTTTGTGTGTGTAATCCTGAGCTTGATGTCTGGTGTCTTCTCCAATAATTCTCCACCTTATTTTTTGTGAAAAAAAAAATGAGGAACCTGGAACTTGACAGTGAGTTAGACTCACTACCTCGGAAGCCACAGGGACCCACCTGTCATTGCTTCCTTGTCACTTGGATCACAGGCATGTGCCCAGCAGCTATGGTGATCAGGCTCAGAGTCTCTCTCTGTAGCAAGTGCTCTACCAACTGAGCCATCTTTCTAGCCCAGTGAAAATTTTTAAACTGGTTATTTTATTGTCAGATTGTAGTTATTATTCATTAATCATAATCCATTCTTCAAAACTAGTCTATCATTTTAGACTGACTTTGCATTGATGATTGTATCTTTGGATGTACGGGAACTTGTTAAATGTGGTGAAATTGTGTTTTTATTGTTAACAGTGTTGTTCATAAGAAATCACTGCTAAATCAAGCTTCAGAACCATTCTGTTTTAAAAACGTTTTATACATTTAAGTCTTATATTTAGATCTTTCGTCCATTTTGAGCTAACTTTTGTATATGGTAAATGACAAGTGAACAGTCTCATCATTTTTCCTGTGGATATCCAGCTGTCCCAGTAGCACTTACTTATTTTCGCTCTTGGTGTGTACGTGTTGCTGTAGGTGTACAGACATATGCACATGCAGTTGTGTGGGGGCTAGAGGGCAACAACATGTTGTCTTGGTGTCCTCCATCCCCTCCGGCTCTTAACCTTCCTTCTGCCTCCTCGTCTTCTGCAGGATTCTCTGTACCCTGAGTGGAGGGATTTGATGACTGAGTGGTTCAAGTTCTGTCACACTCTGCATATTCACTGGCTGTGGGTCTCTTTGTGTTTGTCTCATCTGCTGCAGGAAAAAGCTCCTCTGGTGGCTGAGCAAGGCACTGATCTATGAGTATAGCAGAATGTTATTAGGAGTCATTTTATTGCTCCTTAAAAAAAAAACAAAACAAAACAGTAGTATTTGGTTTTACTCTAACCCAAGCAGTGCAGTATGGGTTCCATCTAATGGAGTAGGCTTTAAGTGAAATCAGACACAGGTTGGTTTCTTAAAGGCAGGACACTATTGTAGTTAAAGAGGTTTGTGGCTGTGTTGATATTAACGTTTCTCCTTTGTTAGATTACAGAGTACCTTCCTGTACAAAAGGCACTAGAACATACACATGAAGGTTCCTTGTAAGCACCAGCTCTACTTCCATATGGTCAATGTTTAGTATATATGATACTTTCAGCAGTGAATCACTACTGTAAGTTTGTAGAGAGCAGGGCCAACAGACTGGATTGTTCAGGGATTCCTATGGGGACCACTTTGGCCAACAACTCATTTAGAGGCAACCTAATTCTGGTACTGGAAGCTTCATTTAGTGATGAGATGTCCAGGTGCCTGTCTACCTCATTATTGGTGATTTCATATAGATCACCTTCATATATGTATATATTTTAGGAAGCTTCTGTTAGCTTTCTGTACTTAATTTTAACTGTATCTCCCCATTTATTCACTCCCTTGTGGTCCTCTCTGCTCCCTCTCCCCACTTGATCCTAGTATTGTAGCTACACACACAAACACACACACACATACACACACACACATACACACTAAACCTCCACCCATCAAAAAACTGTTCTGTTTTGCTTTCCATATGAGATCTATTTGACCCCCTAACCTCAGATTTTACAGATTGTACCTTGGTCATCATTGACTTAATAGCAAGTATTCATATGCAAGGGAATACATACCATATTTGTATTTCTGGCTTGGACGTATCTCACGCAGGATGATTTTTTATGAACTTGGGTGCTCTTGTGTTTGGTGCATAGATTTTAAGCATTGCAGTGTTCTCTTAGTAGATTTTTCCTTAGAATATGTAGTATCCTTTCCTATTTCTTCTGATTATTTTGGGCTAGAAGTCTATTTTGTCAAGATATTAAAGTGGCTACACCAGCTTGCTTCTTAGGTCCATTTGCTAGGATTGCCTTTTTCTATCCTATTACCCTGAGTTGATGTCAAGGTGTGTTTCTTGAATACAGCAAAAAGAATGGTTCCTGTTTTCTCTTCAATTCTGTTAGTCTTTATCTTTTTATTGGGTGATTGAGACTATTGATTTTGAGAGATACCAATGTGGAGTGTTTGTTGATTACTTTTATTTTGTTGTGGTGGTTATTAGGGTGGTGGTGGTGTGTGTGTGTTTACCTTTTTTTATTTATTGGACTTGGATTATTTATTTCTTGTGTTTTCTCGGGTGTGGTTTATCTCTTAACATTGGATTTTTTCTCCTAGCACCTTCTGTAGGGCTAGACTTGTAGGTAGATATTGCTTAAATTTGTTTTTATCACAGAACATGTTACTCTCCTTGTTGTGATGGAAAGTTTTGCTGGGTATAATAGTCTGAGTTGACATCTGTGGTCTCTTAGCATCTGTAGAATATCCATTGAAAAGTCAGGTATAATTCTGATTAATAGGTCTGCCTTTATACGTTACTTGGTCTTTTTCCATTGCGGCATCTAATTTTCTTTCTTCTGTATGTTTAGGGTTGTAATTATAATATGCCAAATAGAATGTGTTTTTCTGGTCCATTCTGTTGGTGTTTTGTATGCTTCTTAAACCTTGATAGGCATCTTTTTCTTTAGGTTATGGACATTTTCTTTCATGATTTTTGTTAAAAAATGTTTTATTTGGCCTGGACTCTTATCCCTCCTGCCCGCCTGTTATTTTTAAATTTGTTGTTTATTGTAGTGTCCCATGTTTTAGATTTAACATTTTCTCTGACTGATCAAAGCCTGAGGTTCTCTTCTTTTATCTCTTGTATTCTTGTATGGCTTGCCTCTATGGTTCCTGTTCAAGTTCTTAAAGTTTTTATTTCCAGATTTCCCTCAGTTTGGATTTTCTGTTTTTATTCTATTTCCGCCTTCAGGTTTTGAACTGTTTTATTCCTTTCCTTCTCACTACTTGTTTTTGTTTTCATAGGTATCTTTAAGGTGCGTGTTCATTTATTCTTTAAAGACCTCTTTCATATTAATAAAGGGTATTTGAAAGTCTTTTTCTGTGTTTTAACTGTGTTGCTCAGGGCATCTGGTTTGAGTAGAGTGTAATTCTAAGTGTTGATATCTGGTCTTGTGATTATTGTGAGGGTATTTTATTCATTGTTTTTTGTTGCTCTCTGGTTCTTAGGAGAGCATGGTTGCTCTGAGGTGTTGCCTAGTAGGAAATTCTTCTGGGATCCTGATAGGTGTGGCCACGGGGCATTCCAGGTAAAATGTGTATCTAGGTATAGGGATCTGACACTTAGAAATGGGGATGATCTTGTATGGTGCTGAGGGCGGGATGCACAGGAAGGAGGAGAGAAGGGTGTTCCCAGCTCCCAAAAGCATTTTTTAAACTTTATTTAAAAATGCTTTTAGAATCTGCTTAGTATCCTGGGAATGGGACCAGAGAATGAAGAGAAGCCATAAGAGGTAGACTGCTACAAAACTGGGTATGACACTGAGGGACTGGACTTGGAGGAGTGAAGGGAGGGGTGAGGAGATGGGGACAGTAAGGGGTACAGAGTCCTCAGCAGGTGATCGTTTGCAGAGCTATGGATGAGACTGGGGGATTGGATTTGGAGAGGAGAGTGAAGATCTGCAGTTAACTGACTTATTTTCTGTTCAGAGTGCCCTGTGGATTCTCAGGGAGTCCCTGTTGGAGTTAGTGTCTGGGGTAAGGCAGTGAGTAGGGAAGGGAGGTTAGCACGGGAAGATCTGTGATCCAGTGGAGATGGGAGCAGGGAAGGGGTATTTAGGGAAGCCTCTGCAGGTACTCTTCTGCAGAGCTGGGGGTGAGACTGGGGGTTTAGGAGCAGAGGAAGAGGAAGAGATCTATAGTTAGCCTACATATTTCACACCAACCTTAGTTTTTGAGACAAAGTCTTTGATTGAATCCTTAGCTCAATGATTGAGCTAGGCTGAATGGGTAGTTAACTCCATGGATCCTTCTGTCTTTCTGTCCCACCCAGTTGTTGGCTTTTACCAGGTGCTAGGGATATGACTCTAGCCCCACTGCTAGTGCCTCTGGCGCTTTGTCTACTGAACCATTTCCCCAGCTCCCAAAAGCATTTTTTAAACCTTATTTAGCTTTATTTTATGTTCATTGGTGTCTATGTGAGAGTGTTCATTTTGGAGTTACAGATAGTTGAGCTGCCATGTGGATGCTGGGATTTGAACCATGGTCCTCTGGAAGAGCAGTCAGTGCTCCTAAGTGCTGAGCCATCTCTCCAGCCCCTCCTTGCTGGAGCCCACCAGCAGAATCCAACAGTTCCTGAGTGGGGAGTAAGGACTGAAAGAAAATTTAAAAACCAAGGCACTACACATGTGATCTGTTCGAGAGGGCTGGCAGTAGAAACTGTCACACTGGTTTATTCCACAGCCCCTTTTTATAGTCAGAACAAAGCATCTTGATACAATAAAGGGGTTCATGAAGAAGTCAAATTTGTTTACCTCAACCACTTCTCTGTATGATCCTCATACAAACAAAAGGAAGTGAACTTGGTGAAACATCGTGCCTATCCATGTCTCCATCCAGGTGAAGGCCAGGATGATTTTTTTTTTTTCTGAGAGCTCAGTAACAAAGCAGTGTGACAAACAAGTGGCTCTCCACACCTCCTCAAAAAGTATTTTTTAAGTAGTTGAAAGAATATGTTTTTACATTTAGTGTGTATGCATGTGCATGTTCTTTACCATGTGGGATTCAGCACTCAACTCAAGTTGTTCTGCTTAGCAACGAGCCTTGTTACCTACATACCATCTTATATTAGGCAACCTCAACATATTTATTGAGCATTTATTGTATCTACAATACTTACCATTTGCTCATTTAGATTTTTCTCAAGAAAACATTCTGTTCTAAAACTAGTGGAATGAAACTTTTTTGTGTTTTCATTATTAGGGAAGCAGCAAGAGAATGTCGGAGAAAGAAGAAAGAATATGTGAAATGTTTAGAGAACAGAGTGGCAGTGCTTGAAAACCAAAACAAGACATTGATTGAGGAGCTAAAAGCACTTAAAGACCTTTACTGCCACAAATCAGATTAACTTGGGATTTGAATGTTCACCTGTTGGTGGAAAATGGACTGGATTGGCCACAACCAGAAAGACAAAATAAACATTTATTTTCTAAACATTTCTTTTTTTCTATGCGCAAAACTGCCTGAAAGCAACTACAGAATTTCATTCATTTCTGCTTTTGCATTAAACTGTGAATGTTTCAACAACTACTTCCACTTCTCCCATCAAGAAACGTGCAGCACCAGGAATCATGAAAAGACTTCTGCTCTCCATCTCTCACCATCCTCAAGAAGTAATAATTTGTTTATTTGTAAATTGTTGGCGGGTATGAGGAAAATGAAATCTTGGCTTTTTAATTTTTGTTTTAGGTTTGTTTTGTTTTGTTTTTGTTTGTTTTCTTTTTAATGATTTCAAGGTTTGTGCTGAACTCCATGACTGCCTTAGGGACAGAATTGCCCAGCCTCTTGAGCTGAAATAATGTGTGGGGCGCATAAGGAAAGTAAGTAAGGTGCAATGAAGAAGTGCTGATTGCCAAGTTGATGTTTTTACACTCATTGTGAATTATGTGAAACTGGTCAAAGATGTACCCTCTAAATAAGGGTCTTAGCTCAGTGTTGAGGAGTAAGCTTTTTATGTATACTCTTTCTTGAGTACTGACTAAAAGTTGTCCCTGGTTCTGAGAAGCATCCTGTATTACCCACAGCTCTTCTGTGGGGCCGTTGTTACTTCTTAATTCAGTTCTGTGTGTTCAGAAATTTGAATACATTAAAAGAAGTAACCAAGTGAGTGAAAAGCATGGTATGTGAATTTTGAGTTAAGTTAAAATCAAAGCATAAAGCTTATTTTGACTAGTACTAAATCGTAATGAACTGGTAAAGGAAGCCTGCTCCTTGAGTATATAACAAGGTTTTTATAAATAAAAGCTTTTGTCCTTGCTTCCAAAACTCCTTATATTGTCACTCATTTACCTAAAAAGCTATTTATGATTCACTGTTGCATTTACATTGTGCCACCAACAGGAAAGTTTTCAAGATGTCCCAGAAAAGTACTAACTGACAACCTTTGCTATAGTCACATACTTTATCAGAAAGTGTGATTCTAAAACATTGTGTTAAATGCACACGAGAAAAATAATTTTCTTCAGGCATTGGTGTGTCTGCTGTGGTACAACATTTGGCAAAACACTTTTTTTTTCCTCCCCAACAAAGGTGGTACTGCTATAGTTATTCAGTAGCTACTATTTCTAAAGACCCCCCCCCATTTAAGTCCTGACTCATAGTCTGCATTTATATGTAACCTTGTTTCTGATAAGACTTAGTGATAGCTGCTTATAGTCACTAAGTCTGATAAAATCGAAACTCTTTAAGTTTTTAAAAGACAAAGATGAGGAAGGTGGAGCCTGGCATGTTAGATTTCTTCATGTTTGAGAACAAACTTGGACTCCAGATTGTTTTATATTTGCTCTTGGGATAGTAAGAAGGCTAGTGTTAATGTCAGTATACACATGAGCATTAGATATTTGGCCCATTTTTAAAAATAAGACTTTAGGTTACTACCTATAAATGTTATACATTATTTGTAACAAACCACTGTCTTTTTTCAAGGAGGAACAGTTTGTGAAGGAGCATAATTCTAAGACTTGAGTGTTATAATCCTTATGTTTGGACAGTTTGCCAGATTCTCAAGAAGGCTTTCAAACGACTAAAGTTTGATGTTTTTCCTGCTGAGCTTACTGGGAAAGAACATAAAATTGTCTGTATATCAGCATGTAGATGTATCATTTGCTAAACTTGGTGAAACAAAAATGAAGCAAAGTCACAAATCTGTTGACAAACTGGAATTCTCATTAAGTCAAGATGTCAGATTGAGTATTTTAAATGTCACAAGTGGAGAAATTGACTAGTGCTTTGAAGTTTTAATCTCTTAAGTGTCTATCTTCAAAAGTTGAGGCTTTCTCCACAATTAGGAAATCGGTGATCTCCATAAACCTTCACAAACCAAGGCAGTCTCAATCACACTTAGTAGCTGGATAGATTGTAATTTGCAGAGGCCAGGGCCTTTATGCCTGGAGCATGAGTATACTGGTGAGAAATACATGGAGTTGCTAAAGCTAACTTGAAATTTTCAGCTTCTACAGAAAGAAATCAAGCCTCTTTAAGCTTTTTTAATATTAGAAAAAAAAAAACACTTTGTTTTTGAGCTATGTGGAGAATCTTTCTTAAGAAAATGACATAATTTTTAAAATACTCTTATATCCAAGATTGTATGTGGCCACATTACTGGTGATGTTTTTCTCTTCATATTGGCCAAAAGGGACTGAAGATGTTGTCATAGGAATCTGTACATACGCTACTGATTTGCCTAGAAAACAGCAAGTTTGGTATTGCTCACTTTGCATATGTAGGGCCATGTGGCGCTTTTATCTATAGGACAGATTAACTAATAAAAATAAAATGGGGAGGGGTTTATTTTTGATATATTACTCTTCTGAGTTTTCAAGCTTTGATAGTGTTTAACTGAAAAGTGGTTTAGAAAGGGCTAGATCCAATATGTTCATATTTAAAAAATTGATGAGATACAACCTAAGTTCTTTATCAAAAGCAAGTACCGTATTAGCAACCATCATATTGTCTTAGGTGCTGTGCTTGTTTAGGTGTTATAGAGTGGGTGGGGAAGTGGCATTTTGTAATATATGTGTACATATATACATACATACAGTATATCATCTAAACGCTCTGAGAGCTGTTATGTCAGGAATGCTGAGTATTATAGCGTATTGAGGTCAGATGAAATTCTACACTTGTGTGCATTCTCCTGCATCTCTTTCGGTGTTTCAGTGACTATTACTCCAGCACTCATAACTGGCTTTTATCCTTTCTTCCGGTTTTTTATTAGTTTTGTTTTTGTTTTTGGCTTGATGCTTTTGGGTATGTTACCAGTCACTTGAAAACTAACCCCCAACGCTTTTTTTTTTTTTTCCTGCTTTTTTTCTGGCAGCTATAACATCGGTAAGAACATTATGAAAATAGCTTTTAAAAGATTTTTTTTTTTTTTTTTTTTTTAAAGAATCATATTGGGCTTGTGGTGTTTCGTTTGAGCAGGGGTTTTTGTCAGGAAATGTTATTTGATGGTAGGTCAGCATCAGTGCTAGTGTCTAAAGTACAAAAGCAGTTAGGCGGGCTGTCCAGTTAGAAGTTATCTGGCTGGAGTTTGTCTCTCAGGACTCCTCCCTACTGTTTTCCAACATTGAGGGTGAGTGACGTGGAATCATGCAAAGATTGGGGCTTAGAAACAAACATTTGTATAACCCTTAGTGCTTTTACTTACTTGAAGTGACTAAGTCTAAATGTCTTCTTTCCTGTTTAGAAAGCTTTAGTTCTCTGCCAACTCCAGTCAGCTAGTCACCTGAGTTGGTTTCTGTACCAATAGCTGCTTCATTTTCAGTTTCTTCCAGAGGCTTTTGTTTTGCCTTTGTAACACTGAAAACTCTTGGCATATCATTCCCCAAGGCCTAGGACAAAAGTTGTATATTTACTTGGGATTGTATTTACATAGATTCTTTGTAAATGTTCAGTGTAACTTGCACTTTTTTTAATGACCCAGCAACTTGGGAAGTTCCCTCATCAGCGAGTTCTCAACTGACCCTTTTGTCTTCCTCCTCTCTTCAGATCATGACTCCATAATGGAAGCTATTCATTGATTACAATATCATAGCTAGCCTTAAGCATGTTATAAAAGCTAAATATCTGGGAATTAGATTTGACTTGTCCAATTAATTAAAAGGTTAACTGAGACTTTTCAGAAGTAAATACTGAAAGAAAAATACTTAAAATTTTAAATTTCATCCTCACCCCAACATTAATTCTGTATAGAGTATGCCAAAAAAATTTCCAGAATATTACAAACTTTGTTACAGCAGTTAGCTTATTGTCATTGTGGGAATCCATGTAATCATCGTTACTAAATCATTTTAATTTGGCTTTGTTGACTTCAAAGAAATGCTGCCTAAACTTGACTGGTTTCAGCTTTGGGGGAAGTAAAGTATGCTTTGTTAGGCCTGTAGGTGAATTATTTGTAAAATAAACTTGTCCACTGAGTTGTACAAAGCACAACTAGAGTTTTTGTTGGGTGGCTTATGTGTCTTGATTACTTTCAATGTTAGTAATGTTGACTTTTTTAAGTTAAGTCACTGTTATGTACTAGGAACTGGTTTCCTTGACTTTCTAGAATCAATGGCCAAGAGAGGCATATAATCCTTGAGGGGTTGAACGTATCATGAAGTTGGGTCAGTATGGAAGAATTCCAAACAAATCAAACAGGGTGCTGAAGTTCCGCTGACTCACTGCTCGTGGTGCGCTTACTGATTGTGAATGTAGTTTTTAAGCCTTTGTATGTGTCCTCAGGGGCAGACAAACTTTAACAAGGACCAGATAACATTTGAATGGAGGAATTATATTTCAGGTGTTTTAGCTTGAAATTTATTTTTTAAAAAAATAAAAATTAAAAAAAAAATAAGAGCAAAGTTTGAGAAGCAAGTTGGCAGTATAAAAACAGGCAGAGCAAAAGCTGGCTGCCCTGTCCCCATCCTGGAACTGTGTGGGCAGGTCCCAGCTGGGTAAATGTTAAAGGAAGATGAATGATCTATAGGAAGAATCTGAGAAGGGTCAAACAGTAGGAAACTCCTACTTTCCCAGGCTTGCCCACAGAAGGATAGCGTTTCTAAGCTTCTGTCGGAGGGACGTCTCAGAGATGAGATGAAGTCTGAGATGTTGAGCTAACCAGTTGGGAAGAAAGATCACTGCAGATCATGATCTGTTGGCCACATGAAATGATTTATTATATTTGGGAGGTTTTATTTTCTTATGTTTTTTAAAATTGAATTGGTAAATGCTTTATAGACGTATTTTTACCCAGGTGCCACTTCAATGTGTATGTAATAAAATTATTTATATTAAAAGTGGGAAATTTTGTCAGCATTTTTCTGTGCGTGTAGATTAGGCTGGTGAAGAAGTGTGCTAGTTAGCAGTTTTCTGTGTAAAGCTGTCTTCGGCTGCTCTGTTCACATCGGTTATAATGCCCCCAGGGGAAGGCATCATCTCCAAATTAGACATGTCACTTGAAACTTTTGAAAACAAAGTAACCAGGGAAGTCCTAGACTGGTATTTGGCAGTTTGGTTTCTCCTTGACCACTGGAGTAGAGAATAACTCCCCAGAACTGTCAGCACACAACAGGGTGTCAGCTTACCTCTGATGTTTCTATTGGAGTTGAGTACAGATAACTATGAGAAGGGAAATACATTTCTATAGATCCCCACAATCTAGAAACAGCCCTGTTTAAATTTTTTTACCTAAATCTTTTTGTGTTTTATGTGTAAAGAGTAAAAGTACCAAGATACCATGCATTTTATTAACACTGTGTACATACTGGCTGCTTTGTGTTCAGAATGGTAGCAGTTGCTTTGTATATTAAAGTGATCCTTGTGAATTTGTGAAATATTGTCATAAAGTGCTTTTCTTACTGTAATCTTTGTGGTATCAACTGTCATAATGCCCTTTTTACACAGACATTTATGTGCGGTCACATAAACATGCTTTTAAAAACTTTGTAAAGTCTCTTTTTTGGGCCCGGGGCTCTCTCTCTTTTCCAGCTGGTACATGTTTATCCTCAGTTTCTTGGGCTTGAGTCTTTTAATTTTGTCAGATGAGCAGAGCTTGCATTGTATATCATAAGTTTGCGTTGCTTGGCAATATAAAATTGCAATTCCCACAATACATCTAAGTAGTTTAATGAACTGCTTATTTTTAGCACTTTTTTTCAGTAAGGTTGAGCAGTGATCTGAAGAGGCACAGAGCTGCTGTCCTGTTGAGTAATGGAGACATGTCCAGTATAGTTAGGAAGAGTAATAGCATAACTTCATGGATCACCTTTATTCTGAATTTTGTAAAAAGCAGAGGAAGGTGGGTGTGATAGTTCTTCTAATCCTACACTCAGGATGCAAAAACTGGGTTGAACTCTGCAGTGGAGATCCTGTGGGGAAGGTGGGAAAGGTGTGAACAAGGGGATTCTGGCTTGGGTGTGGTTACCATTGGTAAAGAACTAAGAATAAAAGATCCCTGAAGTAAACTCTGGAACTTGTAAAAAGTTAACATTTTATTCCTAAACTGTAATGTTTTGTCATTGTCAAATGTGGTCTGGAAGATCAATCATGTTTCTCCCTTCTGCAGAGCATCCACACTTAGGGAATTACTGAGACAGTTTTAAAGAGTACAAGGATGGAAGCTAGCATGGAGGCAGAGACCAGCCTGGTCTACAGAGTGAGTTCTAGGACAGCAGGAACTAAGTAGCCTTTGTTTAAAAAGAAAGAAAGAGA